ATGTAAAAATCGTTTTGTTACTGTTCTATTACGAAATTATGTCCTAATTACATTGTACAGAAGAGAAAAAAAACACATGATCATTATACATGATCACACTTCATAGTTTTCATTTGGATTCTTTTGTTTTTTTCTTACATTTTTTTGTATTGTTTCGAAAAATGATTTTCTTTTCTTTTTTTATACATACAAAAACTGTGTTCTTAAAAAAAACCTCATTTTTTGTTTTGTTTTTATCGCATTTCATTATCTTTTAAGCAAAACTCCAAACATTTTCTCTCTTTCTCTCGTGTACAGCAATAAAAAAAAACAAAAAACGAAATTGTACGAAGTCTAAATCATGGCATATTTTGTTGATAACATAGGAGAATGGAAAGAAAAGACGATAAATAGTAAAATTGTCGATTTTTAAAACAATGTCTTAATGGATGTTTGATGAATTATGTGTACAATCGACATTTAGCTATTATTTCTATTGATCAATATGAGAAGTTGTTGCCTTCAGTTTTAAAATGTTAAACTTTTTATTTTTCATTCTATTCTGTGTGTTCATATTTTAAAACAATATATACAACCCTATTGTAATAAAAGTGAAGAAAAGGCAACTCTTTAATTTTCAATCTCGACATCTTCAATATATCCAGTATCTAATTCAAGATATGAGCAATTCATTACTAAACTAATCAAATTTTGACTGAAAATATTTACTAAAATGTATTTATAACACAATTAATTTAAAAACATCTTTTATATCAAAAGAGTGTTGAAAAAAAAAAGAATCTGTTTATCACTTCTCTATCTAATTTCAAGATCTACTTTATAAAGTTCCAAATAATTGAACATATTTTTTAATATTATTGTATAAAATAAACTAGAAAAATATATATTATAGTTAATAAATTTCATTTTTTTATGAAATATTTTGTTTTATCTATTCTTTTTGTTTATTTAGTTAAACTATATCATTCATTGTCTTATTATTAAAAGTATAATTCAATTGACATACCCTAATCGTTTATATATATCTATTATCATCGACTTGTCAAAATAAATGTGATTTGTTTTCAAAAAAGCAATCAATCAATCAATCATACAGTACGTCATTATTTACATATAATATATATATATACGTTTAATTTTTCAAACATAATCATTCAATATGATATCAGGTATAAAAATCGATCTTCCTTTTATCGTACATATGTAATACGAAAGAGACGAAAAGAAAATTTACTTTCATTTCTCACACTTCCTTTTATCGTGTGTATCCGAAATACGAAGAAGAAAAAAGAAAAGCCCGGTGTTTCTGTCTTTTTTTTTTGTACATCAAACGAGCATTTTTTTTTTTTTTGTCTAAAACGATATTACGAGGGACTTTTTATTTTTGTTCTTTTAGTTTGTGCTATGTTCTCCTCCTGTATAGGTTACTACTACTACGACTACTATGTATTTCAAAGATATTTCTATATTTCTATACATTAAAAGTGCGAATAAAAGTAAAATATGTATATACGAATACCAAAACATGTATTTCATTTCTCTCTTTTGGATTTTTCTTTTTTGGGTTTTTTTTTTTTTTTGTAAAATCTTGATTAAGAGAACCATATTGCGTATATATCACTATGGACAAATGATTTATGTACAAAGATTTTTTATTCTTACTTTCTCTCTCTCTCTCTCTCTCTCCCATTCACTCAAATACACACACACGCACATACACAGACTATATCTGTATGGTTTTTTTTCTTCACTCAATTCTTTGTCAAAAATATGTCTTTTCTTTTCACTCTTCGTATTTTAAGAGGCGATATTCGAATCGTTGTTTTTGAAATAAGAAACAAAAGAAAATTTCAAGGTTGGTTGTATTGAAACAATGAAAAAAATGAACAACAACAAGTATGAGTTAATCAATGTCGCACAGGTCATTCCTATTTGCATATACAATGATAGAGAATTAATAGAAAAAAAAAAAAAAGATCAAAAACTCAAGTTTTTAAAATTCAATGTACTTGGTAGGATTCTATTTCTCGATGAGTTAGCAAATTGATGGCTTAAATTGATGAGTGTCTCATCAGAAGTGTAGTAAAGGTTATTTAATATAGAAAGTTTCTAGAAGATAAGTTATTTTAGTTAGAAAAATTTCAGCATTCTGTAACTCTAGTCTGATGTTTAATGACAAATTTAGAAATAAATTTTATCTAAAGTACTGCTTAGTTCTATCACAAATATTTTGGAAAATTGAGGATTTGATATGACAGACAGTAGAATTCCATTATTCACAGAAAAATAATGAAATTAATGTAAAAAATTTCGAGTTCACATTTTCTCAAATACAGCATCGTCTGAAATAAAATTCACTTTGTTTTTTTTTTGCACTGTATTCTCGATTCAATGTGACATTTTCCCATCCATTAGTTAATACTGTTTAACTCTTTGGCTGCGAGTCTTTTTTTGAAAAAATTAAAATTTCTATTTGGCTGTATACTTGATCATAAATTAATGTATATTTACAATTTATTAAAATTTTTTATAAATACGCATGTTTATGTGACGCATATTTGTGTCATCCGCAACCAAAGGGTTAATATATCCGACATATTTTATTAAAAATTCCTGTGATGTTACATTTCATTTTTCAGTAAAATCGATTCAATACGAATTGGTAGAAAATGACATTATAGATATCAAAATTTTGAACTCGAAAATCCATTAAGAACATTTACTTATCTTTCATCAACAGTACAACTCGAGTAGCCAAATAGCTTAAGATTTCTCAAGTATTTGAAGCCTATTCATTCAATATTATCAGCGATGTTCATCACAATAACGTTGATCAACTGTCGCTTTAGAGACATTGTAGTTTACCACTAAGTTTTAGTGTCTAGTTCGTTTCATATCAAGTCCGTTGCACTTATAAAAAGAGTTCTTATACAGCACTGTGATTCTTTCACTTGCCTTTGTATATAGTCGTTCATATCAACAAAACTCATCTATGACATTTAATTTCGAAAGTGTAGAAGATTAACGGACGACCAGTTTCTTCAACTATAAAGTTTTTTAGAGAAGTTGGGTTAAATCACAGAATTTATGCATGTTAACAATCAGACAATAGTTTAGATAATGTTCATAATGCCTATAATCTAAGTTTGCAGAGATATAGCAAATTTCTAGCAACTAGTAACATCTACTTTTTTCGGAAAAGTATATTGTCCAACATATGGCGTTTCCCTTTATACAGTTTTTTCCCTTTTTTTCATCATTTAAGCATGCTGAATTAGATTTTTTTCATAAATAAAGAAATTTAAAAGAGAAACTGATAGAAAAAAAAATATTTTTTTTTTTTTGTAAAGTATACTGATTCGTACAAAAGCGGACAGAAAAGCGTTTTTCTTTTTTATTCTCCTATTCATATGTATAGTATTTAAGCATAATAAAACTTGGCTCCTTCTTTTATTTTTAAGAACAAAACACGTAAAGGAGACCGACAGCTGGTACGGCTTCATTTTCTGTAAACGATATATACTTCAATATAGCTACAAAAAATAAGATTGACTTAGGTATTATACACACGTTTCTCTCTTTTTTTCAAGGTTAGCACAAAAAGTTCTATTGGAAATTGTATAAACGATAAGAATAACAGATGGTATAACAAAGTGATTGTAGTCACTCTTACGAACACAAATAGGCTAAAAAAATAGTTTTGAAACTAACTTTCGAAGAAGTTTAGAATAAAAATCCCATACTCTAACATACTCATTTTCATGTAAAAATCACATGCAAAATATTATTTTGTAAATTTTTTCCGACTCTTCTTTCTCTGTCGAACATGCTCAGGTGAGCGTAAAAAAGACTCTAAGAAAATTCTTCACTTTCCAAAATCGATTTATTTCAAGGAGTTCTCTTTATTGATCTGAAATAAAAGTCATATAACAAATTTATAAAACGATGAAACAATATGCCAACATTTTGCATATCCTTTTAACTGTTAGCTTCAATTGTTCCCGAACCAGAAACAAAAACATTAGCGTGCTCATAAAATGCAATAATTCATCTGATTTCTATTTGAATGACGGAATCTGGAAAAGGGCAAATTCGTTATTAAATGGCTTCTGGTTGCAACTTTCAGAGCAAAAAAAAGGACAAGAAAGATTTCAAAATCGTTCTAACGAGGGACTGCAGCGAAAAAAGAGGAATATGATTTTCAGCCTAGAAAACACTACGGCACTAGTTTGACCCATAATTTTGGTATACTTAGCATCGAACAATTATTCAACGGTCTTGTCCTTGTAAAAAAATTTTCATCATCGCATGAATTTCTGAAAGTAATCATTACTGAACTTTAATACTGTTTTAGACATAATTGAATATTTATTATCTAAAATGTACTGTTCTTTTAATCTAAAACTTACTCAGCATTCAAATACATCATAAACATTTTGTAAACGAATTTGTAAAAATTCTTCTAAAAATAATTCAAGTATATGTAGACAGAATGAGAAAAAAAGATTGCACACTCCATTTTCTTTTAGCTGCTTTGGTACTTGTATTTTGATCTTTCTGACTAACTTTTAGTGATTTTGTAAGATTATCTTGGTTTTCAAAGAATAAACGAGGATAAATTAAAGTTAGTTTATCAATCCAACTTTCGAACGAGAGAAGGAATGAAGTCAAACCAGTCAAACCCGTCTTCTTATTCTTGTTTATTATCTTTCTCTGATTCTTCATTACTGTCTTATTCACCAGTTCTAGATGAAATTAGGTCATGTATCATTTTTAATGAATAAAGTGCTAAGCTTGATTAAAATCCTTAAAATAAAACTGCCATACAAAATAATAGTTATAAAAAAGCGCAGGATTTTAATAAGTCTACTAGTACGGACAAAATACAAATAAAAAATCTCATAGAGAGAACAGAAAATTCTACTCTAGAAACTGTTTTGTTTTGAACAAAAATAGAGTACACGAAAAACATCTGTTATTGACGGTAATTTTTAAAAAATTTATGCTAGCACTTCACCACCGGTAACACCTAGTACTTCACCAGATATATATGACGAACATTCTCCTGAGGCTAAGAAGACAAAGGCTGGTGCTAATTCTCGTGGTTGTGCAGGTCGTTTGATTGGGTACTTTAAAATAGATTATAAAAGAACTAATATAACAACATGGTCAAAAGAGCATGCTAATTACATACATTTTTGCCAAATTCAGCATTCTTCGTTTTGGGAAATGAAGCAATGACTAACGGTGTCCAAACAGGACCTGGAGCAACACAGTTAACCCGAATACCTTTCTCCATCAATTGTGATGCTAGACCTTTTGTAAATCCGACGATTGCAGCTATTCAAAAGAAAAAAATGCCAACATATCATACACAGGATACAACATTTTCTAAAACAAACCCTTTGTCGTTGCATAATCTAGTATTTCAGCTGATGGATCTAAATCGATAGTAAACTAAGATAATAAAAATGCTCAAACGTGAAATTCTTATCTTCTATTTACCGTAAGCTTGAATCGAGCCAACATTAATAATAGCACTTCCTTTTTTCATATGAGGAACGGCCAAACGAACGAGATCAAACATTGATATTATATTTGTTCGAAATGTGTATTCTACACGTTCACGATCTAATTTTGAAATATCGTCCTAGGAAAGATATCATGCTAAATACACTATATAACAAAATATGGCTTTAATCAAACTTACAACAGATTTTCCCTGAAATGCCGCATTATTTACTAAAATATCAATATGTCCAAATTCTTTCACAGCTGTATCAATTATTTTTTTACATTGACTTTCCTGGAAAGCAATAAAACATCACATTTACATACTAAATAAAAGAAATAAGCATACCTGACTAATATCGCCGGGCTAAATGTAAACAATTTTATAAGATAATTTAACAAGAGACATATTCAAAAGTTGCTTACAATCAATAAACATTTTCGACCTTCTTTTTCGACAGCTGCTTGCGTTTCTTGCGCATCTGTATCTTCATTCAAATACGAAATAACACAATGAGCACCTTCTCGTGCATAAGCCAATGCTACAGCTCTGCCAATGCCCGAATCACCACCGGTTATAACAGCAACTAAAATGACATGATCAAATGATGAGTGTTTTGTTCGCATAAAAAAACTAAATGTGCAATTTACAAATACTCAATTGAGCAGTTTATTCTTGACTCACAGTTTCAACACGAGTGAACGTATTTATGTTTGCTTCGCTTATGAAAAAAAACTTATCTAGCAAACATTTCAAAGTCATTAGACGAATAAAACAAAAATCCTTCCTCTGTCCTGATCATAAATTTGTTGTCCAACTTTTGGCAGCTATTGTAAACGTCTCAGGCACCTTCAATTCTCCAAGTATTTCTATGCATAGAGAAACATTTCCTTACAAATCTAGAACATTATATATTTCTCAGTCTTTTCAGATCATGGAATATTCGCATTCGCGACGAATTGAATTATTTTTGCTTTTTCGTTATGCAGCATGTTTTCATAGTGGCTACAGACTTGCAACGTGTATCGTTTTTCTCACTCGTTCAGGTCAGGTAACGATCGACTGCAAATCCCGTGCTATTTTTTGACAAGTTCAGGTCACCGTCTAGGTTATATTGTCTCGTGACTCACCGTCATCCATCCGTCTCCCACTCCCCGGCACACATGCAAACAAGCTGTCTTTCTGGTAAAATTTCACAGTGTCAAACAGCCATAAGTATTAAAGCAGCAAAATAGAGAATTCGCAAACACATCATATACACCAATACGCATTCTTATCTTCATTGCATACCGAAATGAATTCCCAGCGAATGCGAATTTATTTTATAGAAAATCAAATTCTTCGCGAAAGTGTATTATCCAAACTATGGTCTTTTCTTCACGAAGGATAAACGCTCAAGAGTCGTCCAATACACGATTTTCCTTTTCTAGAAAGAGGAAGCATTCTCATTTTAACGAACTTCATCTGAGACTTGGAGATGCCTTCAACAAACTCGATACAACGGGGAACAATTGCGAGAATTTTAGATATCTATACAATCCTAAAAAAGGCACATTAAAAGTTAGATAACTTCTCACTACAAAACGATACTACACTTACAGTTTTGTTTTTATCTTCAGCTTTTGCCGTCAACTAATACTATATTTCTCAAAAACTTGAATCAAGTGGTGCGTCTTCCCATAGTGATTCGTTTGAGTACAGAGAAAACCCATTTTGATTGAAAAATCGATTTTGAATTTTTAATATAAATTCTTAAAATCTGTAGTTGTAAAGCACTTTCCTACAAGTCAAACTCACTAATTCACTTAAAACACAAAATCCGCCAATGAATACAGTATTCTCTCGGCATACATTTTTCTCACATCTGGTGGAACACATTGTGATAATATTTTTAATTTAAAAACTAAGGCAAAGTCACACAAAGTTATAGAGATCGACTTTCCGAAACCGCTTTCGTCTTCCCGTCAAACATATTTATTGAGTTCAGTTTTGTTGTTGGGAAAAGCTAGGTACCTCAATCTATACGCTTGTTCAGACGATTTTATTCGTCTTTGCCGCTTCCTGACACAACAGAAATGAAATACAAAAGGCACCTGTAGAAACTTGCGGATTAATGCCTCAGTCAAGAGAATTTTTTCCATTAGAGTGTACGGAACCGTTGAGGAGAATGTGCTTATAATAAGCCATAGTAGCTCCAAAATTGGTGAGGAGACAATAGACTGTATCTTTTTATTCATATGTTTTTGAACTTGTGAGAAAGTACCCATCACTTCCTAAAATAAAGTCGCAAACAACTGTGACATATCCTGCTCTACGCTGTATGGTCTCAAGATTTACTGTATCTGCTATAGTGACATCGATACAGTGGGAAACTCAAATTTATTGCATAAAATTCTCAAATCCGAGTTCAAAAGATGAAAGATTCTATTTCCAAAAAGTATTTCTTCCGTTCAAGAGCAGTTAGAGATATTTGCTGTGGGTGTTACTTGATAGCTGCACCTTTGCCAGCATGTGTGTCGTATAGAGTATTAAATGACACAAACTATAAAAGTAGACACTTCAAAGTACATAATCGTACTGCAAACAGTCTGTTTGCTGAGATAAATTCCCTCTTAGTTAAGAAATACGTTTCTATATTCTCTGTTCCCTATTTTTAGAATTTAATCTCATCTAGAATTCTGGCAATAGTTCTCTATATAGCTTTTAATCTGTTAATCTGTGTGTGGGAAGACCAAGTACAGTATGCAAGGCACCATTATGAGAGAGATTGAAAAATCGATCTTTTAGCACCAGACAGATCGAGCTCAAATTTTGGGCAATGAGCGACGACTGCTAGTTAAACATTTTCTGAAAGTTTCATGAATAAAGTCTCAACGGTTGTAAAGAAAGCCGGAGAGCCTTGCTAGTCGAGAACGGCATTAAGAACTGATTGCACTTGTTAATTGACATAAAAAGTGCATCCTCGTCCCACGCTCAGCTGTAATATTGATAGCCCTGTATCTCAAAAAGTAAAATGTACTCTTTACTAAAAAATAGCTAGGCATAGAGTAGAACTTGTATACTTCAAACTGGCATAAAAGCGAAGAATGACCTATTCTGGTTAATTTCTTACTTCATCGCATAGTCTATTGCCGTGTCTACATAACAAAAATGAAAAGCGATAAGATCAAAAGGTGAAAAAACAGAAAGTGGTACATTTGATCTCTACAGTTCAACTATAGCTTCTTTTTTCTGACAAGGTATCCATAAATTTTATCTATGAATCTCCACTATCAACCTGAAATTTGTAAATTTTACGGCGATTGTAGCGTTTAAGGATAGAAATTTATGGATGTCTAGTTTTGAGATTCCTTATGTACCCTGGAATCGCCATTTGACGTGATTTCTGTTATGTAACCAAGCAATAAAAGGGGACCATAGGTACTCAAAAAAAGCTAGAAAACTTGACAAACATGCTTTAAATCATAAAGAATCGGGATAGACACTGTCTTTCCTCTGAAAGAATTATTTTAGTTTGACAGCGCTAAGTTCAACGAGAATAAATGCAACCCACTTGGCGCCGTTTATAAAAAAATTATCTTTACAACCGTTAAGAATTTATTGATGAAACTTTCTGAAAATAATTAACTAACGTCGTTATTCATTGCCCAAACTTTTAGCTGGATCCGTCTGGCGCCAAAAACAAAGTCGATTTTTCAATCTGTCACGGTGCTAGCAGAGAATTCGAAGAAGTTAGATGCAAAGCTCTATGATTTTACGTGGTATAGTAGGAGTAGCTCAGTTGCTACAACTGTGTTAACATGGCGTGCAATATGAGCGCTGCCTACTCTTGCCAACTAATACTATTGTCAGCAACGGACGACGCGTAAGAATGATATAAGTTTGTCGTTACGACAACACATAGATTGATCTATCTATTGATGGGTTTAAACTGGTTCTTGAAAGTTAAAATTTGAGAAAATTTCTAAAAACGTTAATATAGTTAAAACCCTAGTTGTAACTATCAATTCGGGTTGATCGATATAACGGCGGTTGAATGAGTTACGACTCCAAACGAATTTCAACTCCAACTAGTTATAACTGAAGCAGTTTTAAATCCATCAGTGGATCTATACCTAATTGACCTTGTGTTAATGTAGCTATTGTCTATCATATCTGATGATTGACTTGTTCCTTGCTTATATTCAAGGAGGCTAGGTCTGAGACACTTCCATTATAATTAACAAGTGGCAATTAGTCTTTAAAAATCTAAGCTAATAAAACAATACTTTGTGTCAACTTTGACATAAAGTAATAATGAAAATAAAAATTTAATTCACCACTACATACCTTTATCTGTCAACTTTGCACTTCCTTTGTAACTCGCTTCACCATAATCCGGTTTAGGATCCATTTTAGATTCCAAACCTGGGGATTCCTGGTCCTGTTTTGGAAAGCTCGGTTGGGGACCGGCTTTTTTTGGATCTCCATGGAGTGAGTGTGACATTATGAATGGAAATAGCAAGAAACTATTATATTGAGAAGAAGAATAAAAAGTCTGAAAGTTAAAAAACATACATCAACTAACACAATAAAAACTTTTCTTACACACGGTTTTGTGTGAATGACAATTTTGCTGCAAATAGCTTGGTATAAATAGACTGATGATCACCATCCACGAGAGAAATTCTTATTAACCAGAAAGAACAACTTCAAGTATTATATAGTGAAAATTTAGTGATTGTAAAAGCAGAATACACAAAGATAATCAGAAAAATTTGTTGAATCTCTAACTGTGCAAACTGATTTTGTGTTAAATATAATATTATAAAATTTCTCTCTCTTCTTTTCTCTCTGTCATTCTGGAAAAAAGTAGAAACCAGGCAATGGGTCAAAGAGTAAACACGTGCCGTTCACGTTTTCAAACCATAACAAACCTAGCACAATATTTCTGCCTTTGATGTCAAGGTGAAATTGCAAACGATACAAAAAACGAACTGTTTGAAACCGCTAATAAATGAAAAAATACAGTTTACATGATTTTATTTGCGTATGCACTGCGCTGTACACATATTGGTCCATTTTTTAACCACTCAGAGTGACAGAAAGAAAAAAATTAATTACCACGCAAAATTTCACCACCAGACAGACACATCAAATATTAATTGTGCTTGATTGTTACTATACTGTGAGGACTGACAAAATAAAATTTATTTGCATGAAAATGAATGAAGGCTCGATGGATCTAGGCAGAAAAGTACAAATAAACATACCTACCAGTTCGTCCAACTTCAAAATTTGGTTCCAGGTGAGATTTTGATGAAAAATTTCAATTCAATAAAGATTTGACATGAGTATTTACATGTTATGAAATGAATCACTCTCACATACTGACTACCTCTGATCCCATGCATGCGTTGAATGCTAGATTCCTAGGTAATTTATATTGAAATACTAGGATTAGATCCATTATTAGTACGTTTCAAGAAAAACGGTGGCATTTTCCTGGAAAAGAAAAACGACCCCATCTTAGAGAAAAATCAGTAAGTAAGTACATTATGTGAGACTGTCAATAATCTTTTTGCTAGTGCTAGTCCCATAGAATTGATAACAGCTATTCTGAAAAATCTATACTCATTATTCCAACGCGAGCTTCATTTCAAAATTAGTCTAGTAATATAGCCTTTGGAAATGTTCTGTGTAATTATATACGTTTATTATTAATAACTGGCATCAGCAATAGTTAAAACTGATATGATTATGTGAACATATGAACCGATTCTTTCGTTTTAATTCACTTTTCGTGAATAAAATAGTCTTAGTTTTAGTCTAATTTACCAAGAATGTTGTTTATAAGAATCAAAATTTGTTTGTTCTCTGTGAAATAATTCATTTTAGTCTCTTCTTATGTCCGTAACTAATTTATAATACTGAGCCGGTTTATATTATTTCAGTTAAATAATGTCTACCTATCAAATTTATCGTGATACAACAGTAATAGTGACATTACAGGGTACAGTGAATGAAATGTTATCGGTAAGAAAGCTTGTTTTTCTTGAAAACTATAGTATCTGTTGAATATGATGTGAAATATTTATTTTATTTTTAGCATGTATCACTTACAGAACAAGCAGCCAGTAAAGTCTGATGTAAATTTGATCGTGCCATTAATATGGCTTTAGAAAAAACGCACAAATAGAAAATGTACATTTCATGTACGTATTTTGAATTGTCTAAACATTAAAATTAAATATCTGTTTGTTTGTTCTTTTAAATAGGGAAATTGAGTACATATTGTTTTTGTAATAATGTATGGACATTAGTATTAAAAGGTTTTAATATCAAAGATCAAGTTCATTCGAACAATGTTCAACTATTCCATGTAGATAACGTTAAAAGTGTTGCATGTGGTGGAAAAGGTAAATCACGTCTTTGCTGACTAGAGTGATCGGACTGTTGTTGTTTTTCTCCTCTATTCATAGCTATATCATCCTAAATCGAACATTATTCATATATTGTAGTATATTTTTCCTAGTTAAAGCATGAACATGAACAAATATGTTTTGTAAACGAGCTTTCACTCGTTTTTTCTAAACTTTGTATATAGTTTTTTTTTCAAATTGAATGTTTCTTTTCTATAAATTCTTCGTAAAAATAATAAAAAAAAGAAGACAACTACAGTATAACTTTTCTGTAGATACTGGAATATTGTAGTACTATTCATTTCGAAGATAGTTTCGTCTTCGTTTTCTTGGAAAATAGTTATTCTATCACTCAACCTTCGAGGATAGTTAAACTATGTTGCTGTTTGCAAATGATCTAAGTTTAATTTGAAGTGTCAAAGGTCACATTAACACATTTTTCAGTCGTTTTTCTAGATGTCGGAAACTGATATTGCTTCAGATGTCGTATCGGTGATCAATGAAAGTCAAGATATTTTTAGGTCTGTGTTTTGATTGAATTTAGTCTTATTAAATATCAATGGTTTTGCTTTTTATTTAGTATGATCAACGACAGTTCATATCGTACAAAACAATCAACAGGTCGTATTTTAAAAAAAGTTAATTCCAAAGGTCATTTTTTGTCAAATGTTCATCATTTAAAACTTTACATCTTTATCCATTGTAGGTGATGTGAGTGATTTAAATTCAATAAAAGAAAATAAAAAGCCATCAGTTGATATTGTAGCCACCGTAACATCGATAAAAGTAGTTATTTTGTTTTGTTAGTAATTTTTATATTTATATTAGTTTTTGTCGTTTTTTAGCAAGAAGAAGTTGTTCCAAATGAAACACAAAATTATTCCATCACACTGGGTAGTAATCACAGTAACAGTGCTCAATTGGATCCTGCTGTTAATGAAATTAATAGTTTGGCATCGATTAATGTGAGTAAACAAGAAAGTAAAATATGATTTAAAGCGTGTATATCTCTAAATTAAGATTCACCTAAGTGACGCTTTCAGCTTCCTAATATTAGTGGAAAACGTGGGATATCATCTTAGTTCCATTTGTATTTTGGGGTTTTTATAAACTTGATCTGTGCAGATTTGAAAATACAATTATTACGAACAGCATAGATCTGTTCTAAACAAAAGAAACAAGTATCTGCTCAAAATAGAAAGAAGTTACAACTCTGCGCATATTTCTATGGAAAAATAAGTGTGAAAGGCTTTCTTACAGTTATGTGTAGGATCTTTGAAAATACAGGTTGTTATCTTAACAGTTGTGTTTGCTTTTTCACATAGACAATAGACTAAAATGTCCTTGAGAATATAGGAGTTATTCAATATCTCTATTTATACTCGTTCTGATATAGCGTCGGATTTATAGAACCATCAGGCCTTATGTAAAGAGCTTACGAAACCTAAAAATAGAGTGCAATGTAGATTATCAGTCTGTGAAAACACAACCCACTCAGAATCAATTAGGATGACTTAGAAATTCTCGTATGCAGCGAAATAGAGACCTTCAGAGACTTTGAAAAGGTTTTTCAGTGATATGACTGAAAATACACTAATGAAAAAGCTCCCATCAGCATTTTTTGAGCAATGAAGTATGTATAATAGACAAGAACAGGATTTTCTTGAAATTATGAAGTCATTTTAACTGATTTTGTAACAGAGTTGGGCAAGTCTCAGTGAAACTTGAAAAGAATTTGGAAAGAACACTTAGTAAAATTTTGTCAAGACAAAATGGCTGATAATTTAGATCATTTTTAATTCATTAATATTCTATGAAAATAGTCTACAAATTTGATTTTTGCATTTTTTGATGAAAAATGCTACAAGCTCGACTCAGAATATCCTATCTTGCATTGATTTATGACAGTACTACACGTTAAGAATGGGCAGTGTGGATGATGCAAGAAAATTCCAGAAAACGAAATATTTCATATTTTATATTATGCTAAGATTTTATTCAACTAAACAAATTTTGCCAGGGATTTACCGTATTCAATAGCCCATATTCTACTCATCATTGGCGTTCTTATCTGTGAGGAAATTAGTGAACAAAAAATAGTTTTAAGTATTCTAGACTTCTTCCTGATGGCGCAATTACATGTGATTGCTGCTTAGAAACTATAGCCAACAGCAAATCCAGGATACGTACGACTGTCACTTATAAGTTTTATACATCTTTTAAGATATTTTTCTCCTTATTAATAAGACTGGTTAGATACTCTTTGTAAAAGAATTCTGACTACTTGTACACATTAAACAGATTAGCTCGGCGTAATCGGACAAAAATACCATGTTTCGTTTGACTTCTGTTATAAAATTTGGAGTTTTCTAGATAGTGATAAACTAGTTGCCAATTTAATTTTAGTCCTATACAATTCAAAACAATCTAGTTCGACCACCGAATGCACAATCAACACTATTAGAGGATACTTTAGCAATAACCAAAAGTAATTTCAAAAACTTCAATTCAATTTCATAGTATATCATCGAATACGGTCTACGTTTTTTAAGATCAGCCAAATTTAACACTATCGTCAGATTTGTCACCAAAAGACCAAAATGTGTTTGCAGTACCATTAGACAAAACAAGAAATGTAAATGAAGTAAGGAAACACAAACGTTGAGAAATCTTTTAGACACATAACCATACCTTTCCTATCATAGTTATTTTTGCTTTCAGGGAAATGAACAGACAACAACAAGAGAGTCAGCCAATTTCAATAATCCACAAGTACGTAATTTCAAAATATCATCGATTCTTCTGCTCTTCATTATCGAAATATTTCAGCTTCAAGATTCAAATACGTCAACGTTGGATTCAGCTTCGATGAAAAGTATGTGTAGGAAAAAGGAAATAATAAGAATAATAAATTGCAATAGAGGATTACGTCTTTTTCTGCTAACTTGTCGTTACAATTTCCATTCCAGTTCGTCATACTTTGTAGTGTGCTGACTTCTTGTCAGACATGATTCTCAATAGATCTAGCCGAAATAGCGCGTAGATTTTTATCGTCAGTGATGTAATTACTAACTTAATTGCTTCGATTAATAGTTCGGAATCTATTTTGTTTCGAAAATTGCGAATGAGTAATATAATTTTATCTACTTAATACTACAAGCAAAAAACTACAACGAATGAAAAAAGAGAAAAAGAGAATTATAGATGTATAACATGGTCACAGTGTCGCCATATTTTGACCGTGTTGTGCAATTTTCTTTCTATGCTTGTTTTACATATTTCTTACAAATACATTTTGCGTTTTCTTTTCTTGTCATATATGTGGCAGCTAGCCACTATGATGCCAATACAGGTACATATAAAGACTCGATTTGTCTCTCGACAAGAATCTTGTGAGATTTAAAAGAATTTTTATAAACATCTGTGTATAGTATTGAGCTATATTATATAACTTATATATAGTACGGAAATCGACAAAAATTGGTGATTTTATCGCCAACGAATCTTGCCATTTCAGACAAGAATCTTTCATGAAAAAACATGAAAACTCAATAAAAAATTAAAAGAAGAATCTTGTCTGATCTATCAAGGTAAATTTATAGATTCTTGTGTGAAATGGCAAGAGACAAGAATCTTACAAGAAATAGGATGAGAAAGTTGACCAGTGTTGGAGCTGGAAAGACTAGCATACGCAAAAAACAGTTTTTCATAAAGGAATCGTGGTTTTGACATATTGATTAAAAGTATCATAAAAAGTTATTTTCTTATCAAGTGTACGATACACCATTTTGTACAGTTTTTTGTGTTTTTTGGATTTATCGGTATGTTGATTAGACACTTTGACTAGAGTACTTTCCAAGCGAATATTAATTTCAACTTGTTATGATCTATATCTATCATTCTCGTTAGTTTCATGAAGGCTCTTTTAAGGAAAAAAATTGTTCTGGTAGTCATTGCTCAGTAATGAATTACGAACATAAGAGCCTTCTTTAATTGTTATGAGGGTCAACAAAGTGGTCTCACGTATGACTGCATATCATTGCAAAGATTTCAATATTCATATTTGTGTCTTTCTATGCCCCCGTAACTTCGCATCATGAACAAAATTGTTTATCAAAGTTCTTTATTTATGTTTAGATTTTCGTCTTTATTTATCGCCTTCCAATAGTTTATTGGATGTTACGACAGACGAAAACTTGAATATAACATTTCGCGATGTATGCGATAATTCTCCAAAAAAAGCTGATGATAATCAAGCAAATGATTCCTTAATACATAGTGCACAAAAACAGTATGTTATTTTTAAATATTTGATTGAAATAATTGTTGTGGAATTAGAACTTGCATTTCTTTAGATTACCAAGTGAAACGAGAACTGATTTTTCTGTAACATCTACAATTGAAGATGATCTCGTCATACCCAATTCTCAGCCCTTAAATGGAAAAAGTGATGAACAAAATGGTATAGCTCTCTAATGGAACATTGTAAAACAGAACTCAATACTGTTCTTTTTTTTAATGAGTAGAATTTCAAAATGGCGAACAGGACAATATGGAAACTGGAAATTCTCAGATATCATTTAATATAAATCGTATTGAGCAAACCGACATCACAAGAAGTGTATCAAATTTGCCTACATCAGAGTTTGTATTTATTTGTGTACCGCCATCTATCTACTATTAGATCAGTTTGTTCTAATTTAGTACATCGAACGATATTGTCTCTACAAAATCTCCTCTAGTGTCACCAACCAGAGATATTTCACATTGTGTTTCTAATAATAAAATTCTTGTAAGTATGTGAACGTACTACACACACACTCAAGCGTAAACATTGTTTTTATTGTTAAGACACCTATTAACAAAGCATTATATTCGTTGAGTCAACCTGTCACATCAAAATTTGAAAATATAGTTGCTAAACATTTAGAACAACAACTTTTGAAAAATAATCATGCTTTAGTATCTACAACACCTAATGTAATCAAAGAACAAATATCACCAATATATACAACGGTATGTTACAGAAAAACTAACGTTACTCTTTCAGACTATTGTGAAAGAATTATGTGTGTTATATAATCATTTAGCATGAAGAAGAAGAACTTCATGTCAAAGAATCAATATCGAAAACAGTGCGAAAATATGTGTTAAAAACTGATAAAGATGGCCGAACAATATCACGAGATTTAGTCAGCGAAGTGAGTAAGATTTGGGGATGTATTAAAATCCCATTTTTTGAACGGGTGAAAATTTAAAAAAATTTTCTCAGTTGGAGTACGAGAAATCCAGTTTTTTAATGCCGTTTGTGGTAAAAAAAGCAACATATTTTAGAAAGTTTACTAGGTAAACAATTATATTCAATCATTCCTTCTCGTTTGATGAGACTTAGAAAACTGTCATTGAACCTTAGTTTAAGCTTTTTATTTAAAGAAATCAAAAAAAAAGAAACAAGAAAAGAAGACCAAACAAGTGAAATCGTTGTCCTAAGGACTACATTGTATCTCCTGAGAGGAATCCTTAAACAGAACCTCTTCATAAAATAAAAATGGACGAAAAGAAAAGAAAAACGTTGGACTTAGAGAAAGAAGAAAAGAACATAAAGTGAGAGCAATAAAATAGATAAAGGAAACTGTGTCAATAGGAGAAAAGCACCTAATATTGGCGTTTTAGAAACAAGGGAGTGGATCAGTTAAATCTGCAAAAGTAAAAAAGTAGAGGACGTAGTCTGTTAGAAACGCTTACTGGCAGTAATAAAATCACCCACAAACTGACGCACAGATATCAAGAGATCACTGGATAAATGTGTTCTAAGTAGAAGTGTATCAATATCTAAACTAAGACCTAGATTACCCAGCTGAACAGCCAGAATTGCTCGAGCTCGATCGTACTTTGAACATTCCAAGACATAGTGTTTTGGATTTTTAATAACCTTTATTGACGGAGACAGAAAAACAGCTATCGCAGAAATTTTTACAAACAAGTTTATGTTGTTTGAGATGGAAGTTAAGCGCGGAGAGATCCACTCTTAAGCGGCAAAATAGTGCATCAGCTCGACGACGTAATATACATGGTAATTTATTGGTAGGTGGAAGTACAATGTTTCTTAACTCTTTCCGAAATGTCTCAGGCTTTTGTCTAACACTTAGTTGCAGATGTGTTGAGATGAGATCAGACCATTCTCTAAGAGCAGTCGGGAAAAAGGACAACCGAAAAAAAGAACTTTTATCTGC